TATTTTCACACCAGGGACGGTGTGAAGTAAGTCTGGGGGAGGCACCTGTGTGTTTCTGAACTCTATTTGCTTCTGTTTTTGTTTCTTGAGTCAGTCATGTTTATGTTTTCATTTATTGAGTTAGTCCTAGGATCGAGTCAGTCAAACTTATGTGGGAATCAGGACCTTATTTTATGATGCTTTCTAACCACCTCGTGCTCTAAGTATCTTATTCAGTGACCTTAGCAGTGATGAAAGACGTTCACCCGGACCTGGAACACTCCCTGACTTTACCTCGCCTTGCTCTCCAGAAGATTTCTGCTTGTAGAGGTTATTCTGGAAAGACTTAAACTCCACCTAACTTGAACCTAATATTGACTTAATTCTTCTTGTTATGGGCGTTAGATTAGGGAAACGAGATTACACTCAGGACATCTTAATTCTTTCTATCCATCTTGTTGATCCTGAGTGGCTAGCTCATCTTTAGCTAGTTCCCACCAAGAACCTTAAAACCAGTTCCCACCATGAACCTTAAAACCTTTGTTTCACCCTCATGCATTCTGTTTTTAAGTTTCATATGTGCAGATATGTGCAAAAGGGCTGGAGAGGAAAGGATCAACACTGCGCTCACTCGGTTTGCTCACAGACTACGCTTCAGAGCAAAGACGTACATGATCCGACAAGAAGAGAGCAGTCAATAGGGGTGATCTGACAATAAGAGAGCAACCAGTAGGGTGATCCGAGCATAAAAGATAAAATGGTGAAAGAAGTGCTTAAGTCAGAACCACCAGGGGCACAATATATGTAATTACCTCCTTCTCGTCATCATCATCATCAGAACTCGTCATTTCATTATTCATGTCTTCTTCAAAAAAAAAAAAAAATCAGTATTATTTATGTTCCAAGAGTTCTAAGAGATGATGAGAAGGAGAAGCGCTGAAACATTGCCCCTGGTAGATCAGAGAAGCAAATAACTGAAGTGGGAAGTGAAACAGTATGTAGAAGGGGTGATCTGAAAGGAAGAGAGCAAACCTACGGAGCAGATGAGTCAGTGCTCCACGACGATTGCTCTGCAGAGAAAATGAGTGAGGGTTGTGGAGATCAATGGATCCATCCTCTCTGGCAATTTTGTGTGATATCCTGCATCCTCTACAAAGACATGGTAAACCCTAAACACTTGTTAACTCCACTTTAAACACTGAAAAGGCCTGTCTCATACCTAGCCCGTTTCCCTGAATAATGCCTATGACAAGAAGCTCACACTGATCTTAAATGAATATAAGGACTTTCTGTCTGGAAGGTTTGACTTTTGCAGGTATGAGATATATAGTATGGAGCCGATTTGAACAGCAGTCAGTGGGGGTTCTTGTAAGGGTGTGTCGTCCTGATATGTCTGCTTGTATGGTTCAGAGATTTGTGGTTAAAGTATGGTTGCTGAAATGAGAGAGTTCCCACACTTTAAAACCTTTCCCACTGATCTGGAACTTGACATTGTTTGAGGACAAACAAGGATCCAAGTCTGGGGGAATTTATATGTTCTGTTTTTGACATATTACACACATACTTTGCATATCACTTTTGTGTTTTCCTGGAGTATACTTAGTGTGTTTTGAGTTATTTCAGGTATAGAACGAGTTGGAATGCACCAGAAGGAGCATATGGAAGAAAGAATGCAAAAACCAGAGTTTTCCATCGCAGAGCACCCGAGCGGAGCAACCCCCTGCTTGCTCCCTCTATCNCATATCACTTTTGTGTTTTCCTGGAGTATACTTAGTGTGTTTTGAGTTATTTCAGGTATAGAACGAGTTGGAATGCACCAGAAGGAGCATATGGAAGAAAGAATGCAAAAACCAGAGTTTTCCATCGCAGAGCACCCGAGCGGAGCAACCCCCTGCTTGCTCCCTCTATCGCGGAGCAAACCCCCCTTTGCTCCCGAAAATTATGGAAACTTCTAATTAATTTCGGGATTTGCCCTAATCTTTCTATTTTCTTCTCCTAGCCGCCTGTGGCCTTCAGACATATTTTATTCTATTTTTTTTCCTAGACAGAGAACGCTTTTGGAGAGAGGAGAAACCTTAGAACTTTTGGATATTGTGATTTTGATACTTGTAAAGGGAGAAGATCATCTCTCTTGTTCTAGAGAAGAATCCTCTGAACCCTATTTATATTTATCTGCAATAATATTCATGTCTTCTTCATCTCTTGACTTTGTGTTCTTTGTTGTTATGGCTGAGTAGTCGATTTGTTAACCTAGGGTTCTAGGGTGTTGATCCATTGAACTAAACATAGATAAGCATCATTCTCGCCTTTGCTCTCCACTGTTCTTACTGCTGATACTGATTTGATCACTTAGTAATTGATTCAAAGTTTAATCTTTTATCATTAATAATGAATTAGGTTGCTAGATCTGTTGAGAGCAAGCATCACATCCCTGGTCAGCGAAAGTAGATATCAGGGTGTGATGTGAGCATATTAGGTCTGTGCTTAATGTTTGCTGTTGAGTACTGGTCCACGCGAGAGCATAGGTACCTTTGCTCCTCTGGGAAAGGAGCACACCTGCGAGAGCATGGTGTTCTAGTTAAGAAATCTGAGGTCTAGGCTGCAGTTAAAGAGCTTGAATAATTGTTTGGTTCAGCATGGTTAACACCCAATGAGACACCCTAGGTTGACATCTTTATATCCTGAAATTAAAACCCATTTTAATTATTTGTTTCTCACGATTTGCTTCTTTACAAAACTTATCGTTTTAGCTTGAATTTGATCCTATAAAAATAAAGTGTAATATTTGGTCTCTACGGATTCGATCCTAAAGTGCTACATCGACACACCATTCGATTGTGGTAGTGTGCACATTAGGTTAATTGGTGTGCGTTCGCACGTAATATCACATGTTCGAGACCATGCAGCGTTATCGGGCTATGCTCTTGATGTACCGTGATCAGAACAAAGCCATTGAAGCAAGGCATCAGGAGGAGCTCAATAAATTTTGCATTGCTGCGAAACTGGAGTTCCTCGAAGAATGCGAAGGTTTGTTTTCAACGTACCATGAGAAGAAGAAGAAGACAAAGTTCGAGCTGGTCCTTGCCGAATCCAAGCTTCAAAATGTTAAGGTCCCTACCATCGATTGGTTCAAATTGGGTGAGCCAATGATGTTTGACTGAACATCTAACCAATCTCATTCTTAATCTTAACTTTTTTATGTTTATGTTTAATCTATTTTTTTTTTAATTCGAACCCTATGTACCGGTTGTTTATAAACAGTTTTGTTATATTTGATTTTTTTATAATTAATGCTTAATATTTCTAAAATTATTTGTTTAGAATCTACTCTTATTTGTTTATTTATTCCTTGATTTACTCATATTTTAGGCGTTTTAAGATTATGTTTGTTTAGAGATAATGGTTTTTGTTATGTTTAGTATTATTATGTTTAATAGTATAGATTTTGTTGTTTTTAGAAGTTTATTGATTAGATACTAAATATATCTTTTCTCTTAATTAAACAACTATTATATTTTTAAACTTTACCTTTTTCATATTTATTAATCTTATTTTTAGAATCTATGTTTCTTATGATTTTGTTTTGACAGTTCTGAAATATACTTGTGATATGATTGACATATATCTCATCTTCCAAAACAATTATTTTATAAAGTTGGTTCAAAGATGTTCTTTCTAAGACTTAATGATTTGACATTTTGGTCATGTTATCAAGATTTTTAGATATAGATTTCGTGTGTGATTTTGTTTTGACAATTTCAATATATAATTGTGATATGATTGACATTTATCTTATCTTCCAAAACGATTCTTTTATAAAGTTGTTTAAAAGATGTTCTTTCCAAAACCTAATTATTTGACGTTTTCGTCATGTTATCCGGATTTTTAGATAAAGATTTCGTATGCTTATTGCGTTTATCCATGTCAAACAATCATTACTCTTTTTGAATTCTTTGCTACAAGAAAATATAAAATATAATAATATGATAGCTTAAGCATTCCTTTTTGAAAGTATCTATGCATTGGATTGTTTAATCTATTGGATAAGTAATTTTTTTATATAATATTTTTAATATCTTTGATTTTAGACGATTTTATAGTAAGATTTTACATGTTAAATCATAGTTTATCTTTAGAATTTCTTCTATTTTTAAAACTATATTATTTTGAATCATAGATGTTATTTTTTACAACTTAGTTGGAATTTGAATATTATTTTTACTGTTCGAAAATCCTAGATGTAATTATTATAACTAACATAAATAAACTACATAGTTCGATTAATATATTCATTGGATTTAACTACAAATTTGTAATACAATTTTGGGCCTTTTCAATAGTATTGATTTTTCAAATTTACTATGGGTCATGGACCCATCCAATTTTGGTTTCAATCTAATATGTGTTTTAATTTTTCATACATTCACAACACTTAATTTTTTGATTCTCGGTTCAACCACAAACTTACTCGGTTATACAAAACTCAATGAAAAGACCCTACTAAAAGGTTAAATATACATCAAATTTCACATATAAAACTATAATATAATAGAACTCGAATAATTTGATATATTTTGTTACAACCAAAACAAAACCCACTCTTCTCAAGCGCGGATCAAAATCTAGTAACCAATAAAAAAGGAAAATCCATCCCAAGCTCGCAATTGGGTCAATGCAGACTTAGCTAGGTCGACCGAAAACATCAAGAAGATCAAAACATTAAAAAAAACAGTTTTTAATGTACTAGATCCTCGCTGAATAGTCATATATGTGTCATCTTTTGTTCATAATCTACAGCAAAAAATTCAGGGTCCATTTTTCTTTGTCATCTGAAATATGTATTATAAAGAAAATTAGCAAATACAACAAGTGTCCTACCAAATAACTGAAGGAAAACCAAAGAGAGCACAACCAAAAGTCATGATCGTATACATGACCGTCTCAAATAAATAACGATATATTTATGATTTATTGAATTTTTTTTAAAAAGTTAATAACTATGTTTGATGTTTCTGTACTATTATAAATTATGATCTAGCAATATATCTAATTTAAAAGAAAATTATCATAATTTATCTAAATATTTCTTAAAAATTCTTAGTTTTTCCTTATTTTTTTTTTATTTTTATTTTTATATTTGAGACCTTGTTCGACCGCTCCACTTACACATGATATTAGACGGTTCTGATCATATACCAAAACCAAAAGCATCCAGGCAGAGGAAGAACTTTTCTCAGAAGCAAAGAGAGCATATAACCATCTTGGATGACCTCTATCCAGGCCCTACCCGTTAGGGAAGCAAATGAATCAACCTCTCAGGCACAATCATTTTGGCCTAAATTTTTAGTTTTCTTTTAAGGTTAAATTTTCATATATTTGGGCTACACTTTATTTTTTGGGTAAAGTTATTTGGGCTAGAAAAACTACCTCATGTGTCATTTTTTAGTAAATCAATATTATGTGTCTTGCTTCTATTTTAAAAAAAAATATATCAATAGTTCTCGTTTTGGCTATTGAAAATGTTTGTTTTTTTTATACAATCTTACTATGTTTTTCTTATTTAATTTTTGATTAAACATAATTCTCTTTTTTTTTGTGTATAATCATATAAAAAAGTTGATACTATGGTTATAATTAATAACTGAGGGGCATATTTTTTTAATCTCGCTTAGAGTCTCCGATTGACACGGACCGGCCATGCCTCTATCTACATGAATATCCATCTTGTATATTTGCTTATATACATTCTAATCTTTTACTTTTATATATTTACTAATATCTATTTCATTAATTAAAGGTTATCTAGAAAAAAAAGAGGACGAATTTTCGGACTCGATAACGATGTCTCGAGAGTGAGAGATGACTATGCAGCAAAAATGCAGGAAAATTCTCAGCTCTGGGAAGATTTGACGGCTACCAACCAGGTCAATATCGAAGTTCCAGACGAACAACCACATCAATAGGATCCAGATTAAGGCCATGGCAGGGATGTTCGATGTTATTGCAAAGACAAACCCCGAGCCTTGGACAGATGTGACAGACTATACGTCCGACCATTAACCCCGATCCTACTTCAGAAGAGTAGGCGGAGATAGAGCGAAAAGCTGAGCAGCATAGTTCCCAGCTCTTCGACGACCTCATCCTTAATAATTAGTTTTTTTTTTATGTTTTGAATATTATTATATTTTGGATATATTAGAATTTTCTTTTGAATTTTTGAAATTCAAAATTTTTATAAATTTTATAATTTGTTTTTTAGAAAATTTTAGTTTGAAATTAAAAATATATTTTTCTCTAAATTATTAGATTCGACGTAAATATTACGACGAATTAACATCGACATTCGATGCAAACTTGTCGTGATTGTTACGACCAATTTACGTCAATAGTCAATGTTAATTCGTCATAAAGTTTACGACCGATTAACATGATTTAACCTTTTATTCTTCACGACTATATAACAACGATATTTTACGATCAATATATGACTAATTGAAAAACGTAACGTTACATCTATTTTATTACAATTTATTATACGATGAAATAACAACAAATATTTCAGTCGTAAATATTACGATGATTTACCACGATTTGTCGAACTACTAATGACGAAAGAAATATCATCGTTAGTTCGGATCTTTTATGACAAACTAACGACTAAATGTATAGTCGTTACGCTCATGTTTTCTTGTAGTAAAAGATTTCAGATTTGGAGGAATTATGGACTCTGACTCCAAACCTCCTGATATTCAAAAAAGAAGCTACAGTATAGCATATATCGTTTTTAACGAGTGTAACATTTTCTTTGTAGCTAATCACTGATTTAGGCGGGAAGTAATATAAAACTTGAGATCTGTTGATTTCTCGGAATAGTCATATATGTTTCCTGATCGTATACCAAAACCAAATCTAGGCAGAGGAAAAACTTTCTCAGAAGCAAAGAGAGCAGATAACCATATTGGATACATTTTGACCATAAAAAGAAAAAAACCATATTGGATACATATGAAGCTAGAACACATAGTAATCCAAGAGTTATTTTTCCCAAGAAAATACGACTAGATAAATCCTTTTAAAAGCACATACAAGTTCTTTTGAAAAACAATTCTCAACAAACCTCAAGAACAATTTGACTTGTTGACTAGCCTAATCAATTCACGACTTACCCTAGTCAATGAATTGCTTCTAACTCTTAGAGCGTTTTGCCTACCTTGCTCGGTTTCACAAAGCTCTACCTTGCTAGAATATCACCTAGTGTGTTGGTCGACTACAACCCAGTCGACTCTCTCTTTATACCTAGAGAGAAAAACCCTAAAACTACCCAATGGAAACTTTCCATTTTCTGTTTCAGCGAATAAGACAACCTTCTTCTTTTCTTCATCAGTTGTTTATTCTTCACTCCTTTTTCCTTAACACCCACGCCTTGATAAATATCTTCACATCTTTACTAAAGGCTCCTTCCTTTTCTTGCTCAGCTCTCGACTCCGCATTTCATCCAGTAGTTCAGGTCGTGCTTCATGAACTACTTCAGCTCCGTCCTTGAACTACTTCAGCTTCGTCTGCACCATACATCTTCAATCTCCCCCTTTTTAATCTGTGCGTCTCACAAGTACATGAGATGAATAAAACAATGCACACACAGACAAGAACAACTCGCGAAGCAATTCATGTAAGCAAAAGTACTCAAATATCCAAAGTAAAAAGGTTTCATACTTAATACATCTCCGAAAAGATAACATACATAAGTACTCCCCCATAATCTAGAAATTGTCTTAAACTGGAAATCAAAACCAGTTGCAACAAGTGGTGCAACCAGCAAGTACAATGCAAACGAAGTTCTAAAATAAAATAAACAACAACAGCATCGCTCCCCCACAATCTTAGCCTTCATCTCAGTCTTCTCCCCCTGCTTGTGAGCACACAGGTTAAAAACACAAAGCAAAGTTTAAACAGACTCAACAAAGTAAGAAGAAGACTGACCAGAGACAGAGCGAGAGAAATCGGCGACAATATCAGTCAATGCTCGCAGAGCCGCAGCCGTGTCCTGAAGTGCCTCTTGAAGCTCTTCCTGAGTGATCAGACCCTGAGGAACCTTGATAGTGCCCATATCAACCACGGAGACCCTTCGAGGACCAGTCCTTCCACTTGAGGTTGGTGGTGT